TGGGTGGCCTGATGACGTTTTGCTTTGTCTTATCTATGCCTCAGTACTGCTGTTCTGTCCTGGTTTTGCGTGCAGCAACGTCGGAAGCAGCATGAACGGTATGCCGCAAGCGGGGCGGTCAATCCAGCGGGGCTTGCGCTGCATGCGCTAATCGTACCGGTTTTGTGAAGTGTTGTAAGGCAATTACTCCGCTTTCCTACTTTGGGTTTGTCGCACAGTCTCTGCAAAGGTTTTGCTTGGCAACGCAAAACACGTCGAGGCTGCGCCGCGGCTTCGCCATACGTATTACTATTACAACGCCTTATTAAACAAATACGCCCATATATGTCCACCGTTTGGTCCGCTGTGCGGATTTCAGCATGTGAATTTCTGAGTGCTGAGTGGTTGAGTCATATTTGACATATACGGCAATCGTCACAGAAGAGTTAAATTGGAATAGCAGTATGGTGACATGAACCAATGGCCAGCGAAATGCGATTGTCAGCGCTGACTGCTGCGAGCCCACCTATAGCTTCCACGTCAGCTGACTTGGCGACATGTGCCTCACCGCTGTCCCTGCTTTCTGGCAGAGCACCTATTATTGACAGTGCATATAATAGGCAAGAACAAGGCTTGAAAACTTGATGTGCAGTTATGTTGTTCCTGGGCGACCGCAGGTGGGGCTGGAGCGTTGCAGGCGCCAGCGCCAGAGGGCCCCATGCGTGGGTACATTGCAGGAGCAGCAGGAGGCATGTGGCAAGTGGGAGGAATACGATCATCAGTACTTAGGTACAGTACAATTTACCAGCAGTCAGGTGCCACCTTCCATGATGCGGCCTCTATGTGCATGAGGGGCTCACGTGACAGTCCCGTACTGTTACCTGATTGCACGGATCGCAGCAACTACCCCGCAAAAGCAGGTTGGGCAGCAAACAACTTTTGATGTCTATCCGCAACTGCATGTGCTCTAGGTCTCGATGATAGGGCTAAGCAAGTTGCCGGAAATGCAAAGTAGCTTCCAGCATCCCACGCACGTCACCTTGTATGCACACCGTGTCGCATTCTGAAGCTGTGTGTGTGTGTGTGTGTGTGTGTGTTTGTTTGAGGGCTTCATTTTCTTTCTTTTTGGCCACTTGTGTATTAAACATTGTTGTGTCACGCACATGGGTTGGACCAGGAAGTGGTGACTCTCCTGCGTGAATCTTTTGACAGTGTGCACTGCAGGTTGGCCGAAGAGTTTCATTTACAAGTATCCAAGAACAAATGAGCAACAATAAGTGCCAGAGAGCGGGGTGAAAGGAATTAGGGTTCAGGGTCTATGCCCTGCCGAATGTCCGCACCAATATTCTACATGGTGATTCGCCATACTCACAGCATCGGCGATTGCCAGCCCAGCTATCTGGCGCCGGCGGGGATCTGCCTAGCTATTGTGGCCCCGGCATCCAGCTTATGGTAAGTCACTTGAAACTTGTTACACAGCTGTCCTGTTCAAGCTGAAGGGCGACAAAGGCGTTCCGCAAGCCGCCGCAAAACAAGTAGCTGCAGGGGCCCTCCACATGTGGCGGCGGCCGCCTCGCAAAGCTGCCGAGTGCAAAAAATTGCAAGACTCTCTGATCGGATCTGGTGGGTTTGTTGCCAATGCAGGAGTACGCGGCAAAAATGCCTCAAATCCGCGCTTAACGTTGCCGTCAAGGATGGGCATATCCAAGCAATCAGGCACCCTGCCGCCAGCAGGCCCCCACCAATAGAGGCCAGCGTGTCCCTACTTCCTCTAATTTCATCGAATGGTGTGGTCAAGAGCCGGAGTGTTGGACAGCGAGTGCACATGGGGCGGGTGCCCCAGTGGGCCCTAACATCCCCACTGCCCAGGCAGATCCAAAACTTGCTTGCATGCCAGCAAAACAAGCATTGATGTCCACAAGCGCACATGTCTGCTTATAAGCCCTGCATACGTGGCTGAAAAAAAATCTGGGAGGAAGGAACTCTGCCAAGGTCCAGAAAATCCAGTGAGTGGTTTCATCCAGGGTGTGTGCACCTACCCTCGACATTATTCTGGTTGGCGCAATTGCAGCCAACGTGGCGAGTGCGCCCCGTTTTCTGGTGCTGAATAAAATGCACAGCCAGGCCATGCCTGTGCCGTCAAGCTCGTTGACTGGCGACAAGGGGGGTGCCGCGCTCCCTTGCCCTCTGCCGCCCTCGGCTGCGCACGCACGCCCCGCTCAGCCCGTCTTCTTTGTTGGCAGCCGTGCCCGCTGCGCCTTGCCTGCGTTGCCGGAGTTGGTTGAGGTGAGCTGGCAGGTGCCACAAGTGCCCATGGGAAGGTCATCCTGGCAGTGCGAGCCCCCCCATTCTGAAAGGATGCTAGCACCGTGAAACAGCAAGCCTGGGGACCTCCTCACATTTTGCGGCGCTGCAAGTGGGGTCGACGGCCATGGTGGTGGAGGCGGAGAGGAAGTGCTGGCCCACGCCCTCCGCGGTAGTCAGCTGCAGCACCGCGCTCGCCGCGTGGCCTGGCGCATCAGTGGCAGCAGGAAACGGCGCGGCAGTGACGTGCACGCGGACGTCAGCAGCGGGTCTCGCCGGCAGCGCGCCAGGTGCCTGGTGCCATGAAGAGTTCTAACCAAAAAGTGCCCGTTAAGGAACCTGCATGGTACACTGCATGTGCCGCACTGCCATCAAAGCTGTGCGCACCCTCGCAGGGCAAGGCCAGGTTGGCTTTGTGAACCTCCAGCTTGGCACCATCAAGCAGCACGCGGTTGGGACTGTGAGCGAGGTAAGGGGTGGGGGTTGGGTGCTGGAGAGCAGACCTTTTAGGGAGCCAACGCTTCAGCATCTTGGGGCCGGTCTGGGGTTGGCGGACGCACAAGGGCTGGACGGCCCTCATACATCCACCACCTGCCCTAACACGCGCAGCAGGCTCGCGGCAACATCGCGCCACGGCTCCGGCCCCCGAAACACCCGCCCGCAATGCCCCGGCGCCTGTAGCTGATTGCGTCCCGCACTCACCACTCCCAGGGGTCCCCCTCTGCAAACTCGCCGACTGATGACGTCAGCAGGCCGTAACGCGGTGATGCCAGTGTCACCTTGACCAGGTGGCTGGCACCGGGGCAAAGCTTGGCGACGGGCGCGCCTGCAATGGACACATGAAACTTTGCAGCCCTGGCGCCCGATTGTGAATACCGGCATGGAGGAAAGGGTGATTCAGAGTGCGGGATGTGCGCAGTTGGCTGCAGGCAAGGCGAGTGTTGAATGATGGGATGTGCACAGTCTGCACCTGGTTGCGCTGTGTTGGGTGCCCAGCCGCATGCCGTGTTGCTCACGGGTCAGGTATGGGCGCGAGGTGGCCGCCGCCGCGTCCGCCCATGTATGAAGTTGCTGGGTGCGAGGTGCAGGACGTCGCCTGGACCAGCAGCAGGTTTGGGGAGGGTGCAACGTGCGGGGGCCGGCGCGCACAGTGATGAGACGGTGTGCGCGGTGCAGACCTTGGGTCCCGGCATCAACATGTAGCAAAACTCACCATTCGTGACACATAGAGGAACGGGTAGGCATCAGACACGGCCAGCATGCCCAAGATGAGCAAGGTGCAGGTGCGATGGGCAGAACCCGCCATCGCGGCTGCCTACGCCTCCAGTCTGCCAAAGACTTCAATGAAACGCTATGAAGGATTTACTGGCCTGGACTTTTGCCTGCGCGGAGGTTGCGTCTCTCGGTCAGCGGATGCAGCGGGCGCAGGCAGCTCAAAAGCAAAGAGTCCAGAGTAATCATATCCATCCATACGCCTGTTTACGGACTGGCTTCTCCCGATTTGGACGGGGTCACTGCACCTTCTGCAGCAGCTGCGACCGAGTGCGACTGCTTTGTTCACGTTGCGAGCCGCAACCGCACCAGGCGCGTTCGTTTGAAAGTTGTTCTGGATCGCTTTACAGCGGTCATATTGTAATTGCGTAAAGTTTCCCGGGCTGATCTGGCACCACCCGCTCATTAGGTGAACGCTGCTGTTGTGCATGTTCGCTTGAAAACTAGCACATAGACTTGAAAAAACGTCACGTGCTTAGCAAGGTTGGCAGCGTGCGCGCGGATCTCCATCGACGCAACAATGCGGCGCCAACCACAAACTCCGCGTATCTGGCTCATGCGCCTTGGCCGCTCACTGCCACCACTGCGGCCGCTACCTCGCATGCAGAATTTGTTGGGCTGCAAATGCTTTTGACATCCTCCACACGCGCAGCCGCCCAGCAGCCCCCCGCCAGCCGCGCCCCGCGCCGCGCCCGCGCCCCGTCCATGTTGAGCGGCGCCGGCGCCCACGCCTGGCGTCCCTGGCAGCGGCAGCCCCCGCCCTCCGCCCCCGCCGGCGCGCGCCTGCGCGGCAGCCTCGCCGTCAGCGCGATGTTCGGCTTCAACTGGCCCTGGGCTGGCAGCAAGGACGGCGAGAAGAAGGAGGGGAAGTTTGACTCGATTTTGAAGGCCGCGCGCACCGCGCGCCGCGGATGCCCCTTGGCGCCGAAGGAGGCGCCCCCGGGCCTCAAGCTGGCGACGTTTGCCGGCGGCTGCTTCTGGGGGCTGGAGCTGGCTTACCAGCGGGTGCCGGGCGTTGTGAGCACATCTGTCGGGTACACAGGTGCGCGCGCGATGCTTGCTGTTTTTTTT